GTACCGGGTACTTCTCATTTGCCCTTAGGAGTCGCAAGAGAATAAAATATCATTATTACCCTGAGGCCCCATTTCGAGTTTTATAAAAATTAGTCCTATCAAGATGGCGTCTTACCTCATACTTCCGGGTCAAATTTATCGAAGATGCGTCATTTTACATTTAAACGTCACGCTAGATATAAGAGATAATGGTGACATACCTGTATATGCAGTTGAAGCGGGAGAGCGTGACCAGAGGTAGACAAAATAGGTCATTTCAAAAACAAAGCAGTGTGTTCGAAGAACGGCAAAATACACCCCCCATTTCATGTGGTGATTCCAAAGAGAAAAAACAGGCAGCATAACCAATCACAGAAGACTTTTTGATGGGATCACCAATACCACTAGTAGTACAGCAATTCAATTGAAGTACCATAATAAATAATAAAACTTGACATCATATGCCATGTAGTCAAAACTTTTTTTACGAAACGTTGGGTATTAAAGGATGATATTTGATGTCTAGTGGACCATTATGTTAATTAGGTTAAACAAATAAGCACTGTAGCACTGTAATCATTATAAGACGTTCGGCACATGCCACGGTTCGTTGAATCTTGTTATTATTGTTTGTTATCGAAATGTCAATTCACAGTGCAAGAATAGATAATCGGCTCTAGAAGTCGTATTTTTCGGTCGATTTTCTTTGGGTTTACATTTTTGGAATCTACTGTTAAAATCTGAAAGAATAGCAGTTTCAAAATTTCAAAATTTCAAAATTTGTCATTTTTTGGCCGATTTTCGAAATTTTTGGACCATTTTTCAGTTTTTTTCGGATTAATCTGAAATTTTGATAAAAGATGCATGTCACTAATGTAAACCATTGGACATATTCAAAATTTTTGCGTCACTTCCGGTTAAAGTGGAAAATCGATTTTCACTTCCGGTTGAATAACTTCCGGTGTGATTGAAATATTTCAACGAAATTATGTATATCGTTATTAATCTTAATTCTATGGCCGATTTTAAAATAAAATTTAGTCCGAAAAAAATACTTCGGCCGCCATCTTGATTTGATACTTTTTCATAAAACTCAAAATGGGGCTTCGGGGGAGAATGGGATTGGTCAAATTTTTATGTTGGTGTATACTTTAGTCGATGGCGACAAAAATGTTGGAAATGGATTTTTGAATTTGACTTTTGCTTTTTTGCAACTTCCGGTCGAATTTTTTCAATTTTTGAAGACTTGTATCTCGTGACCTTGACCTTTGATGACCTTGACCTTTTTAGGGTCAAAGGTCATTGACCTTGGCTATCATTTGATACTTTGACCTTTGACCCCAGACATGTACTTCCGGTTTTATAGCTATCCGTAAAACGCAACTTTGGACTGCTCTAACACGTGACCTAATTAACCTAGAGGGTTAATTTTTTCGGTTTCCTAATGTTCTTCTCATGCACTTTACATAGATATAGAACAATTGCTTTTTTAAAGCAAAATTGAAATTCGTGATTTTTTCAAATTTGAGTTTTGTTTTACCATATTTGTGTCTTTTTGATCTTGGTGTATGTATATCTTATGACCTATTTTATGGAGAACCTTGATATTTGGAATACAACTAGACACTTTGAATATGAATTCACCTATGGCAAAAAAATTGGGGTGGGCGGGCACATCCGGGTTGAATTACTAATTGTTTACATTTTGGGGCTGGGGCATAACTCGCATAGGATGCGTTTGTTAAAAAAGAGACTTTGCACACAATTACCTCATCCTTTTGGCCAGTATGTATTAACAGCTCAGTTGTTTCAGCTTTATAGTTTCAAAAAAGGAACGGGTTTTAACATTTGGATATTTTCATTTTTCGATTTTGACCTTTGTTGACTTTTGTTGACCTATATCTTTTGACCTCTTATGTAGGAACTTGACATTTGGAACATAACGTAACATTTTGAATATTGATTAACTTATTCAAAAAAAATTGAGTTGGGCGTGGCACATCCGGGTTAAATTACTCATTATTGACATTTTTGGCCAGGGGCATAACTCGCAAAGTATACATTTGTTCAAAATGGAACTTTTAACACAATTACCTCATATTTTGAGCCACTTTGTCTTAGAATTTTGGTTGTTTTCGCTTCATAGTTCAAAAAAAGGAACAGGTTTTGGAAATTCAAAATTTTCAATTTTTGACCTTGACCTTTGTTGACCTTGACCTTTGTAGGATCAAACATCATTGGCATTGGCTATCTATTTATACTTTTATATTTGCTGTCCTAAGTCAACTTCTGGTTTTATAGTCGTTAGCAATTTGAAATTTTAATGGCGTATATCTCTTGATTTTGACCTTTTTAGGCCTTCTCCTTTACAAGTTCAAAGGTCATTGACCTTGGCTATCTGCTGATACTTTCATTTGTGAGGTCTGACGTCCACTTCCGGTATTAAGATCTTCTAAAAAAAGGAAAATTTCTCAACTTTAGACTGTTCTTGCGCTTGATCTAATTATCGTGGAAGGTTGATTTTTTCGGGGTCTTTTGCATTTTGCTACATTTGCAAAGTCCCACTCTGTGCCACGTGTGGCTCTAGTTTTTATTGTATTGCGGAAATGTAACACAGTGTTTTAATGAAATTAAAATGATGATTTTAATGAAATTTGGTGTGATCATTCATATTGATGAGATCTTTGTTAAATTCGAATGTGACGATCTTTCGACGGACGGTATTTGAGTTATTGCCCTTGACTTAGAAAAAACGCATCAAAATTTGTTTGTGAACACAATAGAGACTACAGTTTTTGAACTGATTTTAATGAAATTTGGTGTGATCATTCATATTCATGAGATCTTGATCAACTTTGTATTTGACGATCGTTCAATGAACAGTTTTTGAGTGATTGCCCTTGACTTAGAAAAAACGCGTCAAAATTTCTTTGTGAACACAATAGAGACTACATTTTTCAACTGATTTTTAATGAAATTTGGTGTGATCATTCATATTGATGAGATCTTGGTCAAGAACGAACTTGATATTTCAATGAACACATAAGAGACTACAGTTTTCAATTGATTTTAATGAAACATGGTGTGATCATGTATATTGATGCGATAATTTGATGCGTTTGGATTATTGATATTGATTTTTAAAAATTTGGTGGTATTTCTCAGCATAAATAACTGGCAGTAATTATATATATCAATGAATTCAAACGATTAAAATTTCTTTAAAATGAAAAAAAATCATACTTTAGTCACTTAAGACTGTTTTATCATTTCTGACAGCTGCCAGTGGGCGTATGTTACCTTGCCTGGCAAGCTATCTTTGTTTAAGTGTTTATCTTTGTTACAACTAGTTTATATTTTCAGGTCACAGACTATTAACAAAATTTAGAACACAAATTTCATCTTCAAAAAGTTCTTTGATTCCCACTGAGTCAATAACCTTATACATGTAACAAATCACTTGCTTCGCCTGTCCTAGAATTAAAGTCACCTACAAATAACACAGGCAGCTTGTATATCGCCTTGATTTGTATATCTTCAAAGGGTAAAATTGAATGTGCGTAAAACTGATATTTTTGTAAATCAATTGCGCAAAAAAGTGTGGAAGCTGGCTTTGCATTAATTTTTATTTCCGGTTTTATGTTTTCAGTCAGTGCCAAAAGCTCATTTCTAGTGACTTTGACCTTTGGTGACCTTGTGACCTGAACAAAGGCTGTTGCCCCTTAAGAGATGTATCCGATAATGTCTTCACTTTTGTTGTGCATTGTTAACTTCCGGTTTTACAGCCATTTTAACTTTGAAGAGGTCTGTCACGTGACCTAATTAACATACAACAAAATTTCTTATATATTCTTAAGAGTGCACGATCTCTTCTTTTTGGTGATATATCACACTTGATATTTCGATCAAAATTGCACTTTTTAAAAATTGAAAATTTTGTACTGACTTCTATAGTAACTGCGTACATTCATGGTGTCTATAATCCATCGTCAGTAACTGTTGCCTTAAAAGACGCATAACTACGAATATCTCATGATCTGATGATTGTAAACACTTGAAATTTTGAACATTATTTAACAATTTACACCTTATCACAGACAAATTAAAGTGGGCGTGGCACATCCGGTGTGCATTTACCTTTACTTGAAATATTTGCAATTTTCATAACTCGCACAGTTAGCAATTGTAACCCTATAAATTTTGCATGAAAATAGATCACTACTTAGGACAATTTGTGATAGGATTACAGTTGTTTGCTTTCTTTACTTTAAAAAAGGGAATAGGTTTAACAATTTTAAAAATATCCTTTTTAGAACTTTAACATAAATGACCTTGACCTTTGCATGGTCAAAGGTCATTGATCTAAGATGACCATTCTTACTTTTTGATGTCCGATTAATACTTTTGGTTTTGCAGACGACTGAAAACAGCAATTTTCGAAACTTTTATTTGACCTTTGTTGACCTTTTGACCTGAACAAAAGTTGTTGCCCATTACGAGATATATCCAATAATAACTTCAATTTTGTTGTGCATCGTTAACTTCCAGTACTACAGGCAATTGAAAATCGCGATGTTTAACTTTGAAGAGCTCCGTTGTCTAGAAAAAACATATAACTATGTATATCTAATGATTGTAAACACTTGAAATTTTTAACATTATTTAACATTCTACACATCATAACAGACATAACAAAATTTTTGAAGTGGGGGTGGCAAATCAAGGTTTCATTCACCTTTACCATAATGTTTTAACTTGCAAAGTATGCATTTGTCACCCTAGAATTTTGCATAACAAAAGCTCACTGCTTTGGACATTTAAGGCCGTTTACACGAGAGTAAAATCTCAGGGTCCATCAAGGGTCTGCCCGGGGTAAGTTGTTCACAAGTCCAAAACTCATAGAGTTGACTCCGGGGCCGCATTGGAGTTGCTGACTCCAGTCTTCACTAAGGTCGAACTCCACTTTGACCAGGGTTCAGTAGTTTATGACGACAGATGGCGCCACGGCATAAGCTGTAAAAATGGCGGCCACACATGAAATGACAATAAAAGCTGGCAAAGCTCGCGGAATACAATGGTCCAACGAAGAAACACTAGCTCTACTTGACGTCTGGGGTGACGACAACATTCAGGCTCAGATGGATGGCACGACCAGGGATGCAAAAGTATATGTACTGCTTGCAAACACGCTGCATCAGTTGGGCTATGAGCGCAACGCTACTCAGGTGAGATTCAATTCAACTTTTGTGCCTAGGCCTACTGTAAAATTTCTATTTATATCGATCATTAGCTTGCATTGTAGCTGTCATAGGCATGTTGGTATGTTGGCCAGCTCGTAAGTAGGCGTTAGTGGATTTTTAATGAAATTTATTAGGTCAATATCTCCTTTGTATTATACCTGTAAAATTTTGCCTTGCCATTTTCCTTGTCCTTGTGATCTCTCCTTGTTTTGTTGTTGTATCAAAATCATGTTTCATGAGATCAGTGAAGCCTAATGGGCCTATTAAAATTCAAATACAAAAAAAGCCAAGTTAATTATTTTCCATTTAATTTCAGGTGAAATACAAAGTCAAAAATTCAAGAAGGATTATAAGTGGGTAAAGGATAACACGAGAAAGACTGGAAGAGCACGGACAACATGCGAACATTCTGATCGTTTGGATGGGATTTTTGACCACTGTCCTTCAGTCACCCTACTGGTGTCACTGAACAGTATGAGCCTGATTTTGAGCTTGAAGGTCTCGATTCAGAAAATGAAGGTAGGCCTATGCATTATCTCTGCATTATCTAGTCTGCGACATGCTGACCCTATTCAAGCCTAAGTTAGTTATTTTGACGCTGGAGTACACCAGCCAACTGTCAATATAGCTATCAGAGGCTGGAATAGGGTCAGCTAGTTTCGAACTAATGTATTATCTAACAGAAAATTAATTTTTATATTTGCTTGATTTGTTTTCCATATCACAATAATAACTCAGATACATTCCTGTCTGCAGCATTTGAAATACCTCCATCCTTGTCTGCTCCATCACTTGCAAATACTACGTCAGTTGGCCTACCAGCAATCACGTCAACACCAAAAGCAAAGAGGGCAGTCATCTTACCAGCAATTCCTTCTACATCAGCTGCCACACCAGAAGATATTGAACCTGTTGACAACAACAAGAGAAAGTATAATGGCGAAAAGGGTATGCTCAATATAATATTCTTTTTACCTTTGACTGAAGCGTTTTGATGCCACTAAAAATGAAAATATTCTCTGAAGTCTATACACAGTTTCATGTTTTTCATAAATTTGCCATTAGTATTTCAAGATTTTGTTCTCCGTTAAATCCATCAACATCTTTCGTCATACATCTTAAATTAAAGTGATACCACCTCTTAAAATGAACAAAAAATTTAAGTTCTCAAACTTGGCCATTAAGAGTATGTATTCATCAACAGTGTCTACATTATACAGGTCATCTGTTGTATGTTTATGACACCAGACAAGTTGCCAAATGAATATAGACTCTTATTCAACAAGTTTTAGAATTTTGATCATTCTAAGAGGTAGTATTCCTTTAAATCATAGCAATTATTTTTTTTCTAGTAGTTGTCAAGCAAAAGAAAAAGAGCCATGATGCTGGTTCTATGATACAGACTGCCATTGATGGGTTCACTAGTATGCAGCAAGAAAGTAAAAGACGGTTCCTCGAATCAGAAGACCACCGCCATGCAGAAGAAATGAGAATGATAAGAGAGGAACGTGAGGAAAGAGTTCAGAGAACAAGAGATGACACTTATCGCAAGGAACAAGAAAGAGAGAGGGATAGACAGCATCAGCTGCAAATGATGTAACTTCTAACTCAGTTGATAAAGGGACCTGACAGTCAAGGTGCTATTGTCAAAAATGATTAATACACACCTACATTCCTAAATTTATAATTATTTTAGAAGTATTGATAAAAAAATTTATTGTAATAGTTCCATTTGAATTACCATATACTATTTTCATCAATCCAAATTTATGTGTAATTGATATCTCATTCTGCAATTGCAAATTCACATATTATGATTTTGACACACAACGAAAAATTATTTTTGTACTTGAAATTTATTTCACACGTTCCTTTGGTTTTTACAATAAATGATCTGTAATAATGATAATTTTGAGTTTTATTTACATAGATTTCAATTGGCAAAGTAATTCACCAAAGTATCTCTGATTTCATTTGCACTTGCTGTCTGTGCCTCATTCACTGGTTGGTCAGGCTGTTGTATGAGTTCATCATACTCATCAATATTTTCAACAATAAATGGTACTTCACCAAAAGTTTCACAGATATTGTGTAACACACAACAAGCTGCTACAAGTGAGGGGACCTTAAGAAAGTCATTGTCAAGACGCTTCAAAAGAATTTGCCATTTTCCTTTTAAACGCCCATAGCATTTTCCACCACCATTCTTGCTCGACTTAACCTATAGTTGAACGTTTTCTGTTAAACTTTTCTGTTAAACGGCCGTTGTCACTGAATGGCTTCATAAGCCAGTTTAGCAGAGGGTAGGCACTATCTCCTATTAATATCAGAGGGATGTCTACTCCATTTATGTTTCTCTTTATATGTGGCAGAAGTCTTCCTCTTTCACCAAGAATACACAATGGAGAAAGACTGAATGCCCGGGCATCATGAACAGATCCAGGACATTCTATGCTAATGTCAATAAATCTGTACTTAGAATTGACTAATCCTTGCATGTTGTAGCTGTGATAACCCTTGCTGTTATAACAGTCGACTGGTTGGATGTATGGTGCAATGATCGGAATGTGCGTACCATCAATTGCACCACAAAATTGGGGAAATCCCCACCTAACTTCAAACCCATTCACTATTTCAGCAACCTGATCACCTTTGGGAAACTTCATATGAATTGGCATTAAAACATCCCTTATTGCTTCATAAACTTCATTCACAATTCTACACACTGTACTTCGAGCCACACCAAACATATGACCAAAAGTTTTGTATTCTGTATTTGTTGCTAGTCTCCATAGTGCAATTGCAACTCTCCTCTCAGTCTCCACCGCTTCTCGCATCACAGTATTGACTTTCTCCAATTGTCCTCTTAACTGATCACATATGTACTGAAATGAATAAAATGACATGAATATGGATATTTAGTTGACATGAAATAATGATGTGTCAGAAAAATAGTACATCATAATAAGGCCTACTTCCAATAGTAAAGCATCAAATCTGTACACACAAAAGCCACATACTAACTCAAAACTAGCCCACCAGCAAACCAGGCCAGTAGGGGCAGGGCACAACCTGAAGCTATTCCAGACAGCAAAAGAGAGAAGAGAAGAGAGAGAGAGAGAGAGAAAATTTTCCTCTGTAAAAACAAATTTTGAGGACAAAGTGTATTCATACTTATAATTTGCACAGACATTAAAAAATTGCCTTGAAACTCGAAAATAATTTCTCCATGTCTCATCGTCCCACTCGTTTACTATAGTATACCACCACTGAGTAGATCTTTGTACTTTCCAAACTTGTTGATTAAGTGAAACAGGGAGGTAAACTGTCGTGATAATTGTCATCAGCAGAGCAAAGAAGTGACAATGCTGTCTCCTCTGTCGAGTGCAGAAGGCCATCCTACGTCTGCGTGAAGCGAATTTCAGTTTGAATTGAATGTTACATTCAGAATCCATCTTACTGGTCACTTGGGATGATGAATTTATGTTTAAATGTCAGCTAGTCAGTAAAAGTTTTCATGCAGTGTTATTGTTTTGTTTTTAACAGGAAGTAGTCTTGGTTTCCCAGACTTCACACAAATTGCAAGCTAGCAGACAGTGTTGGTGTAAACACGAACAGAGTTGACCCTGGTCAGTAAATCCACGGGTCCAACTCCAAATCGTGTAAACGGTCCTTTAGTGATGAAGTTACATTTGTTTGGACCTTTTACTATAAAAAGAGAATAGGTACAATTTCTTACATTTTGCTATTTTGTCCATTGGCATACATGACCTTGATCTTTGCAAGGTCAAAGGACCATGATCTAGGATTTCCATTCATACTTTGATCTTTGATATCCGACATATACTTTCGCTTTTTCAGACGTAATAAAACAGCAATTTTCAACACTTTTAAGGCTTGTATCTCTTTTATTTGACCTATGTTGATCTGTTGACCATAACACAACTTATTGTATTAGATGAGACCTTTCCATAAATATTTTCCTTTTTGTTGTGCGATTTGTACTTTTAACTATATAGTTATTTAAAAATTCGACTTTTTACTACCGAATGTTTACAACCTTTAGTACCGAATGGTATCAAATTCCTGCGTCTTTTCACTAACGAACGTTAAACGTTTTGAACGATGTTTTAACTATTGAATGTTTACATGCTTTTCTTTTCGGTAAGAAAAATGCAATGTTTTATCGCTGTATCAAGTTGGATGTGCACTGCTTCAGTTTCGTTATCAGGGTTCTAGTTGCCCTTGTTCTTGAAAACGTGCTAAATTTTTACCTCGTAAACTCTCTAGAAGACATAATTCTTGACGGATTTTGACGAAACTTGGCATGAGTGTTTGTTATCACCCAAGAAAAACCAATTGAAAATCTGAAAAATCAAAAAATATTTAGTATGAGCTATTGCCCTTGTTCTTGAAAACGCGTTCAATTTTTTAGCTCGTAAACGGAAGATCAGAAAAGATTTAAAATATATTTAGCAGAAGTTACTGCCCCTGTTCTTGAGAACTCGTTCAATTTTAAGCTCATAAACACTCTGAAAGGCACAATTCTTGACGGATTTTGACGAAATTTGGCATGAGTGTTTGTTGTCACCTAGGATAAACCCAATTGAAAATCAAAATAATCGAAAGTATTAAGTATGAGTAGTGTCCCTGTTCTCGAGAAGCCTTCAATTTTAATCTTATAAACATTCGTGGAGGCACAACTCTAGACAGATTTTGACGAAACTTGGTGAAATTGTTAATTATCACCAATGGATGAACCATATTGAAAATATAAAATTCGAAAAATGTTTCTCATAGGAATTATTGACCTCGTTCTTGAAAGTGATTTCAAATTTTAGCTCTTAACCTCTGAACGGAAGATTTTAGCCAGATTTTGACAAAACTTGGTTTTATTATTGAGTACCGCGCTGAAAGTTTAATTTTGCCTTCTAGAGTTTTCACATGCTTAAAATTTAACACGTTTTCAAGAACAAGGGCAATAACTCATACTCAATATTATTCAGTATCGCCCAAAGAGTTCAAAAGAAGTCTATGACTGAAGGTTGAATAATTCATACTGGTGATTGTTAATGTACTGCCAAATATTTCTATTCAACATCAAAGCTGCCATCAGACGATATTGGTGCAAAGTACGCGCAAGAGAAAGCGTAGTAAGTCTTGGTATTACAAAATAACGTTTTCTTTCTGTAATAACTTAGTAGTATATGGGGTATTAGATTTTTTCCAATCTAATACCCCAAAAAAAAAGACCTAAACACCATCAATTTGTTTCAAACAAAGAATTACAACGAATAAGAGAACTGCGAAACAGGAGATTAGAAGAAAGGAAAGGAAAAGGTTTTATATGTATAGGATTAAATTAAAAAGTTGCTCACGCTCCAAAAACTTATTTTGGTTCAGATATACAAAAATCATTGGGCTCTCTTCCTGGTTTTCCATGTGCAAAATATCTTGGAGAAAAACATCTTCCCGGTCATAATTACACTGGTCCAGGTACCAGGCTAGATCTGTGATTAGGCGAAACGATAAACCCAAACCAAGTGAAGAACCAGTCAATAGAGTTGATGCCGCTGCACTTAAATACAATATTTTATACAAAAATAAAGACATAAAGTTCAGACACAAAGCAGACAGACAAATGATAATCGAACTTGAAAATATTTCAAATCCAACTTTCAAAGAGAGAATGCAAAGGGCTCTAATCATAAAACTGTTAAAAGCAAAGATGAAATTGGGTATGGGATTAGCAGATGAAATTCATAAAGAATTTAGAAAAACTAAAAACTTTTATAAGTCAAGTATTTGAAAAAGATGAAATATGGTCAGCTGATTTAATTAATATGCCAGTCAAATGAGGATATAATATTGCTTAACAGCTATAGATCTATATACAAGATATGCTTGGATTATTCCTTTGAAAAATAAAACAGGATTATCAGTCAAACATGCTTTTGAAATTATCATGAAACGTAAAAAACCAAAAAACTTGTGGGTAGATAAAGGAAGCGAATTTTATAATAAAAATGTGAAATCGCTTGGGTTTGAAATTTATAGTACTCATAATGAGGGAAAAGCTGTAATAATAGAAAGATTTAACAGGACGCTTCAATCAAAACTGTTTAAAAAATTCACAGACTAAAGTCTCAAAAATGGTTAAATATTTTACCCACTGTGGTATCGGAATATAATAATAACATTCATTCTTCCATCGGTGTTTCTCCAATTCAAGCTAGTCAAAATCCAGATATTATAAAGTTTCCTTCTGCCCTTAATAATTTTGAAAATGAAATAAATAATTTAAATATTAAACACAAATTTAAAGTTGGGGTTCGTATTTTCAAATATAAAAGTAAAATATTTATCGTTGATAAAGTAAACACCACATCACCTCCGACATATGAATTAATCGATCAAGACAAAGAACAAATCATAGGTAGGTTTTATCAAAACGAACTTCAAAAACTGACTTTAAAAAATGAATATCTTTCTCGATAAATATGGAACTGATACAACCACAAACTTTCAACTTATGAGATGGGCAAATGAGTTAAATCTACCACTGTTTTATTATTGTATGAGAGATGAAATAAATGATCTCAAATATAAGAAAGGTAAATTTTATGCTATAACAAATATACATACTTCCGATCAAAAAGGAGTTCATCATTCTGCTTTGTACAAAGTCTCTTCAAATAACTTATATTTCTTTGATTCTTTTGGATTAGAACCCATTGAAGAGATAGTGAAATTAACTAATAAACCAATCAAATCAATCAAAATTTCAAATTCAATTGCCAGGACAAAAGTTTTGTGGACAGCTTTCACTTTGGGTTTTATATCAGTTGAGTTTAGGAAAACAGTTTGAAGAAATTATGATAAATTTAACTCAATAAAAATGGCAAACAGATTAGATTAGGAAACTAATAAACCTAACACTACAGCATGGATAAATAAAGCGAAACCTTACTTTGTGGATCAAATTGGAGACGCTCTATTGGAGACACTCTTCAAGGTGATTTAGATATGTACAATTTCAAAGTAACTGATTTAAAATCTCCTGAAAATGATAATGACGCTGTTCACAAGGAATATTTACGGGATCAAATAAATTCAATTGAAGTAAATAAAAACCATTTGGAAGATAAAATAAGTAATGTGAAAAGATTCTTCAAACGTCAACTAAATAATAAAAATTTTATTATTGATACTAAACTACAGCAAGAGGTAGCAGGGTTAATAAGTTTTATTCAAAATCAATCGGTCAATGTAGTCAACTCAGTTACAAAATTTAATTTCATTAATATCTAAATTAGATGATAAGATTACAAAGCAAAAATTTGATGTTCAACAATTAATAGATAACATTCCAGATGAAAATGAAGATACATTTCAACAGGAATTAAATGCTCTGGAAACTAAACTTAACAGAGAATTACAAAAAGAACTAACAAATATTAAACAACAATTACAGAACATTGATGATAGCGAAATCAAAACCTATATTCAACAACAAATACAAAATATCGATGATAGCAAAATTAAAACCTTTATTCAACAACAAATACAAAATATTGATGATACTGTTATTCAACAACAGATAACCACTATTAATAATGAAGTTTTAAAACAGGAAAAAAATATAACGTCATAATGCCAGCCCTGTTTCACGCTGTGACGTTTTTATATCATGGGTTATGTTATAGACAATGCAGAGGGAAAAATATTGACCTGACACATTTACTTTCAATAACATTTTTGTAGACAGTTGAATTATGTACACGAATATACAAATAAAGATGTATTATATGATGTCATAATGAAAATAATCCAATATAACTCTGATATAAGCATAAAATGTGCTTTTGACGTCATTATACTGTCAAAATTAATAATGATAATATTTCCCTTTGAAGAGTATTTAATTGTTGTATGGTATTTCAGGAAAACAACACTTGCCTCCCAGTTTAATTGCAAACAGTCAACATTGCATTAGATTTGTTTTATCTGTGCATGATAGTATTATATAGCCAATACAGGACTGATGGACATTGGACAATGGGGGCAGATGGGGGTTGACAATTGTGTCAAGAAAGATAAAACACTGTGATGTTTTATAGCTAGGAATTCCAACAACAAGAAGAAAGCAAAAGATGTAGGAGTCTTGCAATATCTTAGAGATTTTGTTTCAAATGAAAGATATACTAATTACATATAAGATAGCTTGCCAGGCAAGGTAACATACACCCACTAGCAGCTTTGATTTTGAATAAAAATATTTAGCAGTACAGTAACAATCACCAGTATGAAATATTCAACCCTCACTCATACACTTCTTTTGAACTCTTTAGAGCGATACTGAATAATATTGAGTATAGTTATTGTGGGACTTTGCTTTCATTCAACAATCCTAGACCTTCTGTTGCATAAATATATTTTGGAACATTTTTGCAAAACCGGAAATGCCATATTTCAACATGTGCAAAAAGTCGAAAATCGGCTCTAGAAGGCGCATTTTTGCATCGATTTTCTTCGGGTTTTCATTTTTAGAATGTGTCTGTAATTTCTGATCAGATAGCACTTGAAAAATTACGAAATTCCAAAATTTGTCGCTGATAACCTCTGTTATTCATTTACTTAATGCATACAAACCTTTGTTACATCTTCCATTATCTCCCTTATTTCATTATTACTTACTTTTACTTTGTTTCCATTCCTCAACTTCCGGGAATCTGATCATGGGACTTCTGTTCGCCATTTTGTGTTTGGATGCCATTGAAGTGTAATAAATATATAGTTGAAACATTAGAGTAATTATTAAGTTTAACATGGTAGCAGAGCGAAATTAAAGAGAATGTCGGCAGGTAACAGAAATAGCTATAAGAATCCACCATATTTTGGACCTGATACGGTGTATGACACGTGGAAAAATGAGTTAGAAATATGGCGTCGGGTCACCGACCTGGACGCAGACAAGCAAGCATTGGCCATCACATTGTCGCTGACTGGAAGAGCGAGGGAGAGGGCTGTCCAAATACCAGCTGATTATTTGGATTCAGAACGTGGCATTGATATTCTAATTGCCAAATTAGATGACATATTCAAGAAAGAAACGAAAGATGCCACATATGAGGCTTATTTAAGTTTTGAAAATTTTAGAAAGACAGACGACATGTCAATTGAAACCTACGTTATTGAATTTGAAAGACTGAATACCAGACTGGTTAGATACGGAATAGAGTTACCTGATGCTGTGTTAGCATTCAAGCTCCTTGACAATGCTTGTCTCTCCACACAGGGACGTCAAATGTCATTGACTGCTGCTGCAGATTTAACATATTCTGACATGAAATCAGCTTTAAAGCGGATATTTGGAGCCAAAATTCCAGATGTTCTTACATCTAGTGTGAAATTGGAAGTAAATGCAACAGCAAGCTCAAGACGGTTTACAAGAGGAAAATATCAGACTTCTGAGAGCAGAAATGATCAGACACTTGAAGATCCAGTTAAAGGAACTAACCCATTAAACAGATTTGGCAAGCGTTCAAGATGTGCTATTTGTCAGTCTACATACCATTGGGCGAAAGACTGTCAACATAAAAAGGAATCAGTCAATATTGCTATGAATAAAGATGAAGACATTGATGATTGGTGTAATATTACATTGTTAGTTGACAACAAACAAAAATCTCAGTTACAGTTTGTGTTCGATGAAGAACAATTAGACATCTTGGTAGTGGAATCAAGTGGAGCAGGTGTATTAGATACAGCATGCACAAAAACAGTTTGTGGTTGTCAATGGTATAATGATTATTTATCAAGATTGCACCCAAATTTAGTGAAATTAATACAGACTTTTCCAAGTGATAGGACCTTCAGATTTGGTGATGGTGTCTCAGTGAGATCTTTGAAAATGGTAAAAATTCCAATTGTCATGGGAAGACAAAGGTGCATGTTGGAGGTTGAAGTTGTGGATACTAACATTCCTCTGTTATTGAGTAGATCATCCTTAAAGAAAGCAGATGCAATTCTTGATTTAAAAAATGACAGTGCTACAATGTTTGGACATAATGTCAGGCTAGATTTCACAGCCAGTGGACATTACTGTGTTGATTTATTGCCTTGTGTTAATGATGAACAATTTCATGATGTTTTGTTTAATTTTGATGAATTAACTACTAAAGAGAAACAAAAGACATTAATTAAACTTCACAGACAGTTTGGTCACGCATCTTATGATCGACTTCATAAACTTTTAGTTGCATCAGGAATTTATGATAAGAAGTTGTTTGGAGTATTGGAAAGAATGATAGCTGACTGTGAAATTTGTCTTCAAAGAAAGAAGCCACCTAATAAACCAACTGTTTCACTTCCTTTAGCTGCAAAGTTTAACGAAACTGTAGCTGTAGATCTGCATGAAATAGAGCATAATTTATGGTACTTACACATCATAGATGAGTTCACCAGATTTAGTGCAGGATGTATCTTGAAATCCAAACAGTCCTCAGAATTTGTAAAGGCTTTTATTAAACATTGGATTGCTATTCATGGTGCCCCAAAGAAGTTGTTCTCAGATAACGGAGGAGAGTTTAACAATGAAGAAGTCAGAGACATGGCAGAGAATTTTAATATTGAATTGAAACTTACAGCAGCTTATTCTCCTTGGAGTAATGGAGTTAATGAAAGACATAACAAAACACTCACTGAGATTCTACTAAAACTTCATGATTCTGGGAATTGTGGATGGGACACAGCTTTGTGTTGGGCATTAATGGCAAAAAATTCCCTGATCAATAATCATGGTTACAGTCCCTACCAGCTAGTCTATGGATGCAACCCCAATCTTCCTAGTGTGCTGCAAGATAGTTTACCAGCATTAGATGGATCTTCAACCAGTAGAACTGTTGCTGAACATTTGTCAACCCTTCACAAAGCTAGAACAGAATTTACTAGAGCAGAGTGTTCTGATCGGATCAGACGTGCTTTAAAGAGTAATGTTAGAACATTTAATGACACTGTTTTTAATTCTGGTGACAAGGTTTTTTATAAACGTCCAGATAGTGATAAATGGAAGGGCCCAGGTATCGTCATTGGCATCGATAGTTCTGTTGTTTTTGTACGCCATGGAGGAAGTTGTGTTCGAGTTCATAAAAGTAGAGTCATCAAACAGCATGAAAATGATACAGTGAGCAATGATCAAAATATTGATACTGAGGATGATGTTACAGTTGATAAGAAACTTGATAATGATTTGGAGTCTGAAAATGAAACTTCATCTGACAATCAGGATAATGATGATCATCATGCAGTTCATAATGATAATCATCAATCTCTGAAACTTAAAGCTGGAATGTTGATGTCATTTAATGAAAAGGGTAGTCAGGTTACTAAAAAGGTTAGAATTATGAGTCGTGCCGGAAAAGCTACCGGAAAACATAAAGATTGGTATAACACAGAGATTTTGGAACCCGTGGGTGATAGTGGATCAAGAGCCTTTGATTTATCTGAAGTGGAAAATCTTAAAGAACTTGATAATTTAGATGATGAAAATGTTATGGTGCTGGATAATTTTTCTATACACAAGGCCAAGGAAAAGGAATTGCAAAATTGGAAAGATCATGATGTTTATAAAGAAACAGTAGATAAGGGACAAAAGTGTGTATCCACAAGGTGGATTGTTACAACAAAAGAAACATCTGATGGTTTTATTCCTAAGGCTCGTTTAGTAGCTCGTGGGTTTGAGGAAATAACTGATAATTTGTCTAAAGATTCACCCACCTGCTCTAAAGAGGCTTTTAGAATAACCTTAGCTATCATGGCTTTAAAAGGATGGACACCCAATTCAATGGATATAAAAACTGCATTCTTACAAGGACAATCTCTTAAACGAGATGTTTATATTAAGCCACCACCTGAAGCCAATTGTAATGGTATTTTATGGCATCTTCAAAAATGCGTTTATGGTTTGAGTGATGCTTCCTTGCATTGGTATCAAGTGTCATGAGCAATCTTGGTGCAAAAGTTTCAAAATCGGATCCTGCTGTATTTTATTGGCATGATGATAAAGGAAATTTGATGGGTATTTTAGCAAGCCATGTTGATGATTTTTTATGGGGTGGCACAAAACAATTTTATGATATTATGTGTAAGATTCGAGATCTTTTATCTGTTGGCAAAGAAGAGAGTCAGGCTTTAAGATATTTAGGTATTGAGTTATTTTGTGAAAGTAATGATATCATTTTGCATCAAAAACAGTATGCTGAGAGTATTGTACCAATTAAAATTGATAAGATCAGAGCTATGCAAAAACAAGCAGATTTGTTAAAAGGTTAAATTATTAAGGTCTAAATCGGTCAAATTAATAGACAAAGTAGACCTGACATTCTCTATGATGCATGTGTCTTAGCTTCCAATCTTAAATATGCTAAGGTCAGTGATATTCTGTATGCTAACAAGATAATTAAGAAAATTAAGTCAGATAATTTGATGTTAAAATTTAAACATTTAGGACATGGTCCAAAAGCCTTAGTTGTATATTCAGATGCTTCTCTTGGAAATTTAAGCAATGGGGGTACTCAAGGTGGACATATCATTTTTCTTAAAGGAGAAGGGGGAGAAATTTCTCCTATTTGTTGGTCATCTAAACGAATTAGAAGAATAGTACGTAGTACTCTGTCTGGAGAAGCATTAGCAATGTCTGATGGCATTGACAGTGCAGTATTCATCTCAAATATGTTTTTAGAATTAATTGGTGAAAAACTACCTTTAATCTGTGTAACTGATAAGAAATCCTTGTATGATGCTATTCATTCAACTAAACATGTTTTTGAAAAACGCCTTCGTCTTGAAATATCAGGTATAAAAGAAATGATAGATACAGTCAGAGTTTTGATGTCACTTCCGGTTTTGAAGGTGGAATCAATTGAAAGTACAATCTACTTCCGGTCGAAAAACTTCCGGTGTAAATGAAATAGGTCAACAGAATTTATGCAGGTCGTAAGTAAATGCTAATACAAAAAAACGAAGAATATAAAATCCAGACGGGAAGTGATACTTTGGCCGCCATCTTGATTTTCTAATTTTTTTGTTTTTAGAATTAATTGGTGAAAAACTACCTTTAATCTGTGTAACTGATAAGAAATCCTTGTATGATGCTATTCATTCAACTAAACATGTTTTTGAAAAACGCCTTCGTCTTGAAATATCAGGTATAAAAGAAATGATAGATAATTATGTTGTAAAAGAAATCATTTGGTCTGAGACAAGTAAACAGTTAGCTGACTGTTTAACAAAGAAAGGGGCATCTTCATTATTATTGTTAAAAACTCTGGAGCAAGGGCATCTTGATTTGTAGTAATTAAAAACTTTGGCTTCTTAAAAATTTATGTTGTACAGTGATAAAAAACAACTAGTTTTCTCTTTTTTATTTTGCGTAATACAGTGGAGATTGTTAACCTCTGTTATTCATTTACTGTTATGCATACAAACCTTTGTTACATCTTCCATTATCTCCCTTATTTCATTATTACTTACTTTTACTTTGTGTCCATTCCTCAACTTCCGGGAATCTGATCATGGGACTTCTGTCCGCCATTTTGTGTTTGGATGCCATTGAAGTGTAATAAATATATAGTTGAAACATTAGAGTAATTATTAAGTTTAACAGTCGCAAACTTTTTTCGATTGAATTTTGCAATTTTTTTGCAACTTTTTTGTTTTTGCATCGATTGATCTGAAATTTAAATTGCAAAGAGACATCAATAAAGTCAATGATATGATACAGTCAGAGTTTTGATGTCACTTCCGGTTTTGAAGGTGGAATCAATTGAAAGTACAATCTACTTCCGGTCGAAAAACTTCCGGTGTAAATGAAATAGGTCAACAGAATTTATGCAGGTCGTAAGTAAATGCTAATACAAAAAAACGAAGAATATAAAATCCAGACGGGAAGTGATACTTTGGCCGCCATCTTGATTTTCTAATTTTTCTTAAAATCGAAATAAGTCCTTAGGGATAAACTAAATCTGCATAAATCTGGTGTCGATGTAATCTGCTGTCAAAAGACTACAAAACATTGGGAGTCGATTTTTGAATTTCGCTTTTGCATTTTTGCAATTTCCGATTGAATTTTTTCAAAGTTTGAAAGCTTTTTTTCTTGTGACCTTGACCTTTGATGACCTTGACCTTCATAGGGTCAAAGGTCATTGACCTTGGCTATCATTTGATATTTTGACCTTTGACCTCCGACATGTACTTCTGGTTTTATAGCTATCCATAAAAAGCCAAATTCGCAATTTTGGACTTCTCTAGCACTTGACCTAATTAACCTAGAGGGTTAATTTTTCCGGTTTCCTAATGTGCTTCTCATGTACTTTACATAGATATAGAACAATTGCTTTTTTAAAGCAAAATTGAAATTGGTGATTTATTCAAACATGAGTTTTGTTTTACCATATATGTGTCTTTTTGATCTTGGTGTATGTATTTCTTATGACCTATTTTATGTAGAACCTTGATATTTGGAATACAACTAGACACTTTGAATATGAATTAACCTATGACAAAAAAATTGGGGTGGGCGTGGCACATCCGGGTTGAATTACTAATTGTTTACATTTTGGGGCTGGGGCATAACTCGCATAGGATGCGTTTGTTCAAAAAGAGACTTTTGCACACAATCACCTCATCCTTTTGGCCAGTTTGTGTTAACAGCTCAGTTGTTTCAGCTTTATAGTTTCAAAAAAGGAGCGGGTTTTAACATTTGGATATTTTCATTTTTCGATTTTGACCTTTGTTGACTTTTGTTGACCTATATCTTTTGACCTGTATTATGTAGGAACTTGGCATTTAGAACATAACGTAACATTTTGAATATTAATTAACCTATTCAAAAAAAATTGAGGTGGGCGTGGCACTTCCAGGTTAAATTACTCATTATTGACATTTTTGGCCAGGGGCATAACTAGCAAAGTATACATTTGTTCAAAATGGAGCTTTGCACACAATTACCTCATATTTTGAGCCACTTTGTCTTAGAATTTTGGTTGTTTCCGCTTCATAATTCAAAGAAAGGAACAGGTTTTGGAAATTCAACATTTTCAATTTTTGACCTTGACCTTTGTTGACCTTGACCTTGGTAGGATCAAACGTCATTGGCTATCTATTTATACTTTTATATTTGCTGTCCTATGTCAACTTCCGGTTTTATAGTCCTTATCAATTTGAAAATTAAATGGCGTATATCTCTTGATCTTGCCCTTTTTAGACCTTCTCCTTTACAAGATCAAAGGTCATTGACCTTGGCTATCTGCTGATACTTTTATTTGTGAGGTCTGACGTCTACTTCCGGTATTAGAATCTTCTAAAAAATGAAAATTTCTCAACTTTAGAGTGTTCTTGCGCTTGACCTAATTATCAACGATGGTTGATTTTTTCGGGTTCTGTAGCAAATTGCTACATTTGCAAAGTCCCACTCTGTGCCACTAGTTTCCCTTGTTCTTGAAAACATATTCAATTCTTTAGATCGTGAAAACTCTAGAAGGCAAATATTCAATCTTCAGCACGGGACTGAACAATAAAACCAAGTGTCAAAATCTAGCAAGAATCATGCCTTTTAGTGTTTAAGAGCTAAATTTGTAAAGCGTTTTCAAGAACAAGGGCAATAACTCATACTAAATACTTTTCGATTCTTCTGATTTTCAATAGGGTTCATCCTTAGGTAATTACGAACACTCACACCAAGTTTCTTCAAAATCAGTCAAGAATTGTGCCTTCTAGAGTGAGCTAAAAATTGAAGGCGTTTTCAAGAACAAGGGCAATAACTCATTCTAAATATTTTTCGATTCCTCTGATTTTCAATAGAGTTTATCCGTGGTTGATAACAAACACTCATGCCAAGTTTCATCAAAATCCATCAAGAATTGTCCCTTCCAGAGTGTGTATGAGCTCTAAATTGAACGTGTTTTCAAGAACAAGAGCAATAACTCATGCTAAATATTTTTCGATTCTTCTGATTTTCAATAGGGTTCATCCTTGGGTGATTACGAACACTCATGCCAAGTTTCGTTAAAATCTGTCAAGAATTGTCCCTTCTAGAGTGTTTACGAGCTAAAAATTGAACGCGTTTTCAAGAACAAGAGCAATAACTTATACTTAATATTTTTCGATTCTTCTGATTTTCAATAGGGTTCATCATTGGGTGATTACGAACACTCATACCAAGTTTTGTCAAAATCCGTCAAGACTTGTGTCTTCTAGAGTGTTTACGAGCTAAAAATTGAACGCGTTTTCAAGAACAAGGACAATAACTCATACTAAATATTTTTCGATTCTTCTGATTTTTTGTTATCCTTGGTTGATAACGAACACTCATGCCAAGTTTCATCAAAATCCATCAAGAATTGTCCCTTCTAGAGTGTTTATGAGCTCAAAATTGAACGCGTTTTCAAGAACAAGGGCAACTAGAGCCACACGTGGCACAGAGTGGGACTTTGCAAATGTAGCAAATTGCAAAAGACCCTGAAAAAATCAACCTTCCAAGATAATTAGATCATGTGCAAGAACAGTCTAAAGTTGAGAAATTTTCATTTTTTAGAAGATTCCAATACCGGAAGTAAACGTCAGACCTCACAAATGAAAGTATCAGCAGATAGCCAAGGTCAATGACCTTTGATCTTGTAAAGGAGAAGGTCTAAAAAGGTCAAGATCAAGAGATATAGTCATCAAAATTTCTAATTGCACACGACTATAAAACCAGAAGTTGACATAGCAAATATAAAAGTATAAATAGATAGCCAATGCCAATGATGTTTGATCCTACAAAGGTCAAGGACAACAAAGGTCAAGGTCAAAAATTGAAAATTTTGAATTTCCAAAACCTGTTCCTTTTTTTGAACTATGAAGCGGAAACAACCGAACTTCTAAGACAAAGTGGCTCAAAACATGAGATAATTGTATGCAAAGTTCCATTTTGAACAAATGTATACTTTGCGAGTTATGCTCTTGGCCAAAAATGTCAATAATGAGTAATTTAACCTGGATGTGCCACGCCCACCTCAATTTTTTTTTTGCATAGGTTAATTGATATTCAAAATGTTATGTCGTGTTCCAAATTTCAAGCTTCTACATCATACAGGTCAAAAGATATAGGTCAACAAAAGTCAACAAAGGTCAAAATCGAAAAATGAAAATATCCAAATGTAAAAAACCCGTTCCTTTTTTGGAACTATAAAGCTGAAACAACTGAGCTGTTAACACAAACTGGCCAAAAGGATGAGGTAATTATGTGCAAAGGCCCTTTTTGAACAAATGCATCCTATGCGAGTTATGCTCCTGCCTCTAAATGTAAACAATTAGTACTTCAACCCGGATGTGCCACGCCCACATAAGTTTTTTTGTCATAGGTGAATTCATATTCAAAATGTCTAGTTATATTCCAAATATCAAGGTTCTACATCAAATAGATCATAAGATATACATACACCAAGCTCAAAAAGACGCAAATATTGTAAAAAAAAAACTCAAATTTGAAAAAATCACAAATTTCAATTTTGCTTTAAAAAAACGATTGTTATATATCTATGTAAAGTACACGAGAAGCACATTAGGAAACCGAAAAAATTTTCTCTCTAGGTTAATTAGGTCACGTGCTAGAGCAGTCCAAAGCTGTGAATTTGGCTTTTTACGGATAGCTATAAAACCGGAAGTACATGTCGGAGGTCAAAGGTCAAAGTATCAAATGATAGCTGAGGTCAATGACCTTTGACCCTATGAAGGTCAAGGTCATCAAAGGTCAAGGTCACAAGAAATAAGCTTTCAAACTTTGAAAAAATTCAAAACCGGAGTGACGTCAAAACTCTGACTGTATCATATCATTGACTTTATTGATGTCTGTTTGCATTTTAAATTTCAGATCAATCGATGCAAAAACAAAAAAGTTGCAAAAAAATTGCAAAATTCAATCGAAAAAAGTTTTCGAATTTCGTAATTTTTCAAGTGCTATCTGATCAGAAATTACAGCCAGATTTTAAAAATGAAAACCCGAAGAAAATCGATGCAAAAATGCGCCTTCTAGAGCCAATTTACGGGTTTTTGCACATGTTGAACTGTGGCATTTCCGGTTTTGCAAAAATGTTCCAAAATATATTTATGCAACACGTTGCCACTACAGAAGGTCTAGGATTGTTGAATGGTTGCTGCAATTACTGCAGTCTCGCTGAAATCAAAGTCCCACAATAACTCATACTAAATATATTTTGATTCTTCTGATTTTCAATACGTTTCATCCTTGGGTGATTACGAACAATCATGCCAAGTTTCGTTCAAATCCGTCAAGAATTGTCCCTTCTAGACTGT